GGAGGGGTCGTTTGCTGCGCGGGGGACGTGCGATGGGGTGTCCGCGGGTGAAGCCGGGCCGTCTTGGTTTTGGTCCTTCCGGAGTGCATTCGCGCGTGTCGACCGAACGTGGAAGGGCCTTATCGTGGCTTCGGAAGATTGATAATGACAGGCATGGCGGTAGCACGTGTCGCCGTCGTCGTTCCGTTTTCCCGCCAAAAGGACGTGACGTCGTGGACGGTCCTTCTCCTAGTGTCATTTCAGTGCTGCGCGATCGCAACCGCATAAATGTAGTCCGCACGAGGGTGATTCCACAACGCTTCTCGTCGTGCCAGGTGCACACTTCCCACCGCGCATCTGCAGTGCCACAACGCTTCTCGCCGGGCACGCTACAAGGTTCCCGCCACGCATCTGCAGTGCCACAACGCTTCTCGCCGGGCCAGCTGCACACTTCCCGCCGCGCATCTGCAGTGCCACAACGCTTATCACCGTCATCGCTTCCGCTCTTCTGGCAGTCAGTCTTCTCGCCGCGGAGCACTCCCGCCATCGCCAAGGACAGGTGCCGTTGGGGACATCATCCTTCCGTGGTGCGCTTGGGCGTCATCGTCATCCTGCAGCGGAGGACACATCTTCAGCGTCGTCGGGATAGCCTGTCTGGCCAGCCTGGCAAGAGACGGGTGACATCTTTTTCGACGAAACAGCACACGTCAGCCGAGCGCTACACCGAGATCGCTTGTGGGGGTCCCCAGCAAGCATGTCTGCTCGATTGAACGCCCGTGGCAAGAAGCGCGATGTCGCGTTTGATGAAACCCAAGCCCAGGGGAAAGGTCGTCGGCACGTCCCGAAGGCGAAGAGGCCACGTTTGGATGATGCGTCAGCAAGCGTGCCGCATTGTGGTGCGCGAGGTGGGTCGCAGTCGGCGGAAGAGGACAACGACGATGATTTCATGACGGAGGACGATCAAGGCGAGGCGACGGCATCTGCAGGACGGGAGAGTGTCAGGCAGCGTACTCCGGATCAGAGCGCTTCGAAGAGGATGTCAACCCCTCCGCCGGAGGCAGTAGCTGCGTGTCCGCGAAATGTGGAAAGAGAAGGGTTTTGTGGTGAACCTTGGCGGCGGAGACGACGAACCTTTGGAGAGGCGTCGCCTGCGCAGTGCGACACAAGCGACCACAGCGGCGGTGTCGACGGCTCGCGCTGCGGACGACGAAAGGCCGATCACAGGTGCACTGCCCTGCACGCCGTCTCAGCCGCGTCAGCGCAACGACAGTGGTGACGGTGCGTCTTGCCAACGAGGTGGTGGTGGGGGAGTCGTGGCAGACGTGCATGCAGCAGGAGGGGAGGCGGCAGGTGGCGCGGGTGTGGCTGTTGCAAGTGTTGTCCCTCCTGTTCCGGCGGCGAGAGAGGAGGCTGCAGTTCCGGCGACGGTGAGAGAGGAGGGTCGTGGACAGAACACGAACCAACGCGATGGCGGCGAGGCCGCTTCAAGCCGGGCACGCAGGGGAGTAGTGATGAATGAACTTATCGACCGTGCGCTTCTTTGGGTGGATGACAAATGTTTCTGGACAACGGGTGAAGGACGCAGACTTTACAACATCGTCCACGAAACCAAAGAGTACTTCGTCGCCATCGCCAGCAGGCTTCCGCCAGCTCAACTTCCGCGGAGCGTTGTCGTTCCCAAATCCAGCACGAGGGTGGCCAGGATCGCAGACCAATCACAGCTCCAGCAGGCGATCTCCCGTGCGGCGGCGGTGGAGAATATAGCTCTGCGCATCTTGCACGGCTGGGTTTCAAGTCCGGGAACCGCCCAAGGGGGTACAACCTTGCGTTCTAGTACTCGTTGGAGTCCGTAGCCATGGACATTGCACGTGCAATGTGGTACGGCGAGGAGTGGCGCAACGTCGTCAACGCGCCGATCTGCGCCCACACGATAGATCTTAACATGGACCTTCCACTGTGGTACGCCGACGCGAATATCGAGGACAGACCTGAGGACGACGACATGGCTGCATACCAGGAGTCCACCGTCATCAGCATCGCGCATTCGTTCCGCGCGGCGGTGCAAATGGGCGCTCACATCGATGGCGATTTCATCTCCTACGAGCGTCTATGTCGGGCGGCCGACTGCTTCAGGCTGTTGCTGGCGGCGTCCATGTGGATTATGCGCATGGCGGGAGACGATCCGCGCAGTGACTACGAAGCGTTTTACTTCGCGGATCTCATCGCTAGGCCGACACTAATCGCCTCCATGCATAGGTCCTTCGATCATCAACGATCCGTCGTCCGCGCCGCGAACGTCGTCACGGAGCGGCTTGGGAAGGAGAAAGTCACGCTCGTAGTGTACCCCGACTACATCCCTGATTGGGCACCATGCGGCATCGGATTTGCGCACGACGCGACCATCAAGGGGCCGGAGGATGCGAAGAGGCTGGATTGGTTGGGTTCGGGCCCCGCCGATGATAACATCAAAGGCGAAGGAAAAGACGACACATAAGGCAGGCTGGTATGCGGGGGGAGAGCGGGGAGACAACGCTTCTAAGAACGAAGGCGCATGTAAGCGTGGCGAGACGTGACGGGTTGTCGTGTGATTGGAGTGTCGTGCGTGGCGCAGCTGATTAGCGTGTGGGCCGCCGGGATTCGCCAGAGTCCTCCGTCATCATTGTGCACAGGTTTACTGTGGCGCCCGTGGCATAAGCACGGGATGATTCAGTTCGATTTTGTCATTGTAGTTTCGGTGGTTAGCATGTTCGCCGGAGGGATTCGGCTGAATCTTCGACGGTGGCGTAGGTGTTTAGCGTGCGGCCAGTAGCGCCAACACGCGGATGAATGGTTTGCACCTTTGTTTTTTGTTTTTTTTTATCTTTTTTTTTCTGCGTTCAGCGCACGTGGTTGTTTTATCAATGCATGGTGCTCCTCGTTGTATCGGACGATTTGAAGCGCGTGGCGGTTGATTGTTGTTTGCCTTTTTGCGATGCGTGTGACAACTCTCACGACTCTGTCATATGTCGGTGTCATGAATGTGGTAATGTCTTTTGTGGGACACAGATGTCGTGCGTGTCATGCAGTGTCCTTGTCTGCGTTTCACTTGTTCTTGTTCTTCGTATTGGCTTCACGACATGCAATAGACATGTGATGATCACGGATTGAGAGAATGCATGACGGGATCGTATAGAAGCTTGTTGTACATGTCATCCCACCTGAACAACACACGAAATTGGTCATGGAAACTGAAATGAAGATATGCACCAAAAAACGATAAAGATAATCAACATTTCCAAAAAAA